AGCTGGAACGCGCAGAGCAGGGGGCTGCAGAGCAGCAGGAGCAGCAGCAGCAGCAGCAGCAGCAGCAGCCGCAGCAGCAGCAGCAGCAGCAGCAGCAGTATAGAGTTAATGTATATGTCTTTATATAAAAAATAAAATAAAAAAATAATATTAAACAAAAAAAAACATCTCCCTCTGTTTTATGTTTCCGTGTGTTTAGCTCTCTCCACTGCTGCTGCTGCTGCTGCTGCTGCTGCTGCGGTCAATCCGCAACAGCTGCTGCAGCAACAGAAGCTGCTGCTGCGACAGCAGCAGAGATATTCAGTTTGCTGCTGCAGCGCCTCAACAGAATCCAGGAGAAGCAGCAGCAAGACAACAGCTGTCATTGCTGCTGTTGCTGCTGCTGCTGCTGCTGCTGCTGCTGCTGCGGAGCAGCACCACACACACGGGCAACGCTCCTCCCGTCGCAGCAGCAGCAGCAGCAGCAACTGCTGCAGCAGCGACAACTGCAGCAACAGCAACTGCTGCAGCAGCAACAACTGCAGCAGCGGCAACAACCGTAGCAGCAGCAACAACTGCAGCAGCAGCAACAACTGCAGCAGCAGCAGCAACTGCAGCAGCAGCAACTGCAGCAGCAGCAGCAACTGCAGCAGCACGATGCAATGCCGAGGCCCCGAGGGGGGGGACGGGGGGCCCCCAGCTGCTGCAGCAGCAGGAGGCATTAGCTGCAGCAGCAGCAGCAGCAGCAGCAGGTACAGCAGTAGCTGCAGCAGCAACTACAGCAGTAGCTGCAGCAGCAGTCGAAGCAACAGCAGCACCAGACACAGCACAAAACCCAACAGCAGCAGCAACAGCAGCAGCAGCAGCAGCAGCAGCAGCAGCAGCAAGCTGTTTGCTGCAGCAGCAGACTCGCTGCTGCGCGGCTCTGTCGATGACGATCTCTTCCTGCGGCTGCTGGGTGCTGACGAAGCAGCAGCAGGTGTGTATAGACACTGCAGCAGCAGCAGCAGCAGCAGCAGAAACTGCAGCAGCACACTGTCGTTGCTGCAGCAGTAGCTGCTGCTGCTGCCTTGCACACACATACAGAGTGCTGCTGCTGTTTTTGCTGCTGCAACAGTTGCTGCTGTTGCTGCTGCTGCTACCGCTTCCACTCCTGCTGCTGCTGTTGCTGTTGCTGCTGCTGTTATCATTCATGCTGCTGCTGCTGCTGCTGCTGCTGCTGCTGCTGCTGCTGCTGCTGCTGCTGCTGCTGTGTGCAGGGGAGGATGGCTGCTGCTTCGTCTCTGCGCCGCTGCATGCGTTCAGCAGCGATGAGAGTTTGCTGCTGCAGCACGACCTCAACATCCTCACTGCTGCTGCTGCTGCTTCACAGCAGCAGCAGCAGCAGCAGCAGCAGCAACAGCAGCAGCAGCAGCAGCAGGAGAGAGAGGAGCTGCTGATGGAGAGAAGCCAAGTGCAGCAGTTCGTTGCAGACTACTGCGCCTTCTACAGCTGCCTGTACACCCCAGGTAACACACGAAGCAGCAGCAGCAGCAGCAGCAGCTGCTGCTGCAGCAGCAGCAGCAGCAGCAGCAGCAGTAGTAGTAGTGCAGCAGCAACAGCAGCAGCAGCAGATACAGCAGCAGCAAACTGTTTCATTGCTGTTCTTTCCCCTCCCTTTTCTGTTTGCTTATGTTCATTTAATCCTTGTGTTGCTGCTGCTGCTGCTGTTGCTGCTGCTGCTGCTGCTGCTGCTGCTGTATGTTTTTGCTTCAGGCCTCGCGTTGATTGCTGCTGCAGTGCATGCGCTGC